GATGAGTTTTCTAGGGGTTAGTATTGTCAGCTCCAAGCCAAACTGATATTTTAGTTACTATTGTCATTATTGAAGGATTTGTCTATTCTTTTGTAAATGTGTTCTCCCCTGTGCTTCCCCCTTTTATTGCCGAAAAGGGACGGTCCATGGGATTGCCCTGGGGGAGTAGTGAGACTCTCATTTGGAGTCCCTCCTTCCCCTTTCACTCATTTGTAATCTATTCGTCTTATCGTACTACTGTAGATAAAGATACATATCTTCCGAGCCATACAACTGTAGTTCAGTGACTCCCCTCTAATACGTTGGAGGAGTTGAGTTGGGTTGTCGGGGTGTTAGAGATGGCAGGATATCAAAAGGATCCACCTTTGCTTTTAACCTAACCCCCAAATTCTAGTCCATATCCGTTTACTCCTAGGAACGAACAGTATCAAAAAAATATTATTTTATCATAAAGGTACAGTAAAATTTTGAAAATTCAGAATACAAATAGGGTACTAAATTTTCTAGCTCTCGGAATTTTTTTTGTAGAAGTAAATTATGTCATTGCACCTCGCTACTATTGGGTTGGTGAATTGAAAACTGCGGGACTTTGAACTAAAATTCATTCAACATAAAACCATAAATTCATTCGAAATAATTTCCATGATTAGTGACGACTTCCGCCCATTTTACAGGCAATTTGCGGATTCCTCTTTCGTGGTAGGATTTTGGTTTGTGTGTGAGACAAGTGTGAGACTCAAAAATGGAGGACTGGAGATGGAGACTGGAGATGTCCCAGTTTGACATTGTCAAAAAATTTTTGGTGTCAATAGAAAGTTGTAGAGAATCAAAAATTGGGCTTATAGCCAAATTTCCAAAAAGATATACTTAGTAGTTTCGCTTCAAATGCAAGTTTTGTGAAAATTCGTAAATTTGGCATTTCTTGCAAACCAGTTTTTGAATCGTTCTGAAAATTAGGATATAAGCTTGATTTTTGATTCTCTACAACTTTTCCATTGACACCAAAATGGGTTTCTTTTGAAGAAAGTCCTCAAATTGTGACCTTTGACAATAGCCGGCAGTTTTCAATTCATCAACCCAATAAATAGTTTAAAAGTTCTGCTATTTTCTATGATATTCTTCATTGAGCTGAAACAAAATTCAGTTTTTGACCTTTGACCACCTTTGGCGAGGTGGTAGAACTTTTAGTGCATCCTGTTTATAGAATATTGGAGTTAATGTCAAAGTTTTCTTTTTAGATAAACTATTTTGTGTGTTTGGCTATGTGTTAAAATGAAAAAAACCATATAAATATTTATTACCCGTTTCAAACTATCACAAATTGTTCCTAAGGTTGATAGTAAGGCAAAATTTTGCCGGTCTCCTCGTATTCTTGAACATATTCGAGAAGAGTGTACTCTCCAGACCAATCATCCGGAAGAAGAGAGCGATTCTGAAAAATATTGATAGCTTGGAGTTAAAAATCGCTTCATTGACAACTTACAATATAATTCGGTTCATAAATCGTTCGATTCACGGTTTCTGGATATTGAAACGGACTTTCTCCATTTTCCGTCGGTCGTCGCTCCATAACTGAAATCTCTTGTTGTGAGCAATTAGTTCAGACACTATCCGGTTATCCTTATGCCAATAACACTTTAAAGCTCTTGTGATTTATTCTTTATTCGTTAGAATCTCTAAAAGCACTTTGAAAATAGTTACCTGATCAATTCGGAGTTCTCGATCGGATCCTGCCGCCTTTCGAACTTTGATATACGTCTTGAGTTCTTCCTCGATTTTTCCCAGAACCTCCTTTTCGTGCTTCCGGACTATTTGGCATCCGGATCCCTTATCATTTTCCAATTCAGAATCCGTCCAAACATCGCTCGCCCAAAATTGCAGGAAAATATCCTGGAAATGTGGGTAAGATTACTGGTCTCAACTTATGGGACTAGCTTTCAGATCTAGATCAACCTGCTTGTAGTAGATCACAGCTTATACACAGTTTTCCATTTTCAGCTAGCTTCTCAACCAATTTAGCATAAAGTTGTCCCAACGATATTGTTCTCATCCAGCTGCAATCACTCACCGATTCAATCACTTCTTCCGAAAATTGTTTCCTCTTGATTCCGAATTTCTCCTCTTTCTCAATCGCTTCCAAATCCCACAGAAAGGTGCTCATTGTTGCAAGGAGATCTCGTAAAGCACTCGACTCGGGAAAACCACGTTTTCTGAATATTTTCACTTACAAAGGAACTGTTTTCACTTACCACCGATTTTCGAAACCGGACCTAACTACAAAACGTTCCAGTAAAATTCTAAGAAACACGTATTTTTAATTTTTTTCCCCATAGGCCTGGTTTTCGAGAGACCCTTTTGGCAATTTTTGGTAAACCGCGACCTCGCCGATCAGGCCGAAAGGCATCAAAAGCAGCGATAGTCTGGGGGATAGTGTGCTAGACTACGAAACTTGTCCTATTTTTGCTCGCGGGTTCAATTCCGCTTGCCGCCAAATATTTTGCTTTTTTTGTCACAAGTATACAAAACGTTTTTCGTGGGTATTAAGATGTTTTTCAAGTTTAAAAAGTTCCAATAAATGTTTATTGGAGTAGCAAAATATCCTATATCGTTAATGAGATGAGAGACTATCGTTTTGGGATCGACAGCCGACATTGAGACATGAACAAGAATGAAAGAGAAATGAATTGATTTTTTAGTGGCAAGCGGAATTGAACCCACGAGCAAAAGTGGCATAGGTTTCGTAGTCTAACACACTACCCCCTAGGCCGCCGCCGCTTCTGCCTTTCAGCGTGGTGCCCTCTTATAGGTGAGGTCGCGTTTTAACAAAAATTGCCGAAACTTTGGAAACGTTTTTTCGAAAACCAGGGCCCATTGGAAAAAATAAGAAAGATATGTTGCTTAGAATTCTACCGGGACGTTTTGTAACTAAGTCTGATTTCGAAAATCGGTGGTAATTTTAAACGTCCTCTATGTGAAGTCTTTTCTCATAAACAAACCTCCTTGCTTTATAGTCACAATCAACGAAGAGCAAAGACTCCTCATTGCTGATGATCAAGAGACCTTTACCCTGAATATAGATAAGGTTTTGTTCAAATTTTTATTTCTCTAAAAAACTTACATCATCTCTTCTAATCAGTTTCAGTCGTGAATCGAGTTTTGAATCTTTGAATGACCCATTTCGCCCATAAGCAATTTGATTGGCCACTTGGTGGACTTCCGATTGTGCTGAAGCAGGTTGGTTGGGTTTAAATTCGAGCTCGGAAGTATGGCTTTAACCATACTAATTTTATCCAAAACCTTTTCTATTTGATCGTTTCTTACCGATAAACGTTTCATCAATATCTTCATTGCTTATACAGTGCAAAATAAGAACATCGATTTCCCGTTCTTTTCTTTCCCATTGCTAAATTTCAGTTTTAGAAACTAGAATATTGGCTTTTTAAACGCACAAAGCCTGTAACTATAGCTACCTGAACGATTTCTTCTCCAAAAGACAACAACAGACTCCCAATCCCATTTAAAATGTTGTCCACAACAAGGATCATTTTTGGAATCTTCATAATTGAGAATTTTACGTGGAAAAAGCGAGGACATATCGACATTCGTTTTCAAAGCGGATAAGGTTTTAATCTGAGAATTTGGTTTTGCTGGGTTTTCTTTACGAGATATTGTACCTGATCACTTTTGATGAACTGCTCTAGAGTTTCTTTTGTATTCGCTGGTTCGCCACCCCCAAAATAGAGATGAGATGGTTGAAAAGAATCTGAAAATTTGTGAGTCTAAGAATTTGCTTAAATTCAAACCAATCATTTGAAGAATTGTATCAACATTTTCACAGATTGGCCTCACAACGATTTTCGCTTCTTAATTCCCAAGAGCATTCGCTTAGCTCGGGGTGCATTAGCTCAAATGAAGAAGTAAATTTGTGACTAGTTTATCGCTATGAGATTTGTTTTCTTGTTTTTATTCTAATAGGTTGATGCATAAGTCTTTTCGTTTTTTTCGTACTTCTGTTCAAAAAATAAATAAATTCACCAATTAATCTATAGTTTGCTCTATATAAAAGTGTTTTTTGTTCATAATTTGCATCTTTTTAAATGAATTTCGGTTCACTTTCAAGCAAATTCGAGAGTGAAAAACGCCTTTTTCGTAAAAATCTATAAAAGACTCTATAAAAAATTGGCTGAATGAATTTCTCCAAAATTTAGGGGGAATATCAAACTTTTTTTTCTTATCATCTTTTATCTATTGACACGAAGATAGGTTTCTTTTAGCTATGGGGTCTAAACCGCATCATCGAGTTGGGGCCCTTTTGACTACCCCGACTTCACTCCTCAAGAAAAATCCAGACATTAAATATTTTTAAACCCGTTTTAATGTTATTTGGCTAGAAAAATAATTGGTTTTTCTGTAAATCAAATCCTAGCCGTGTTTAATTGGTGCATTTGCCAGTATTGAAACGGTAGACAAAGAGGAACGAAAGACTTATGCATCAACCCTAATAGTATCAATT